AGCTTAAAAATTATTCAATAATTTGTTCAAAATGTAAGTTGACACTTATTTCCCAAGAGATCCACTTGTCAATTAGCTTTTATGCTTTACACAAATATAAACTTGTCAACTATCATATCAAGTCCCACATATCTTAATAAATACGTTTTTAAAATCTCCATCAACAAGGATACGCCTATATTTGTCTAATGTAACAACACCTATCGTTCAAAATGTTGGCTTAACAAAACATTCTAGATAATCTAGGTGAATTCTCTCTTTGATTTTTATTCTCTTGTATTCCATTAAATTCTTTTCTTCCAAACAAAGATTCTGCTAGAAGTTAGAGTGAGGTTGCCTACAAATTTGTAAAACATACATATCATTCTTAAAAAGACTACTTTCATCAACTATTTTTTCTTCTTATTCAATATTTGACTTCATCAACACATATTCCCAACCTCTGAACTCCTTGATTCGAATTACAACTCAATAAACATTGAACTCATAAACAATTTGGACCTAACACAATAAACATTGAACTCGTAAACAATAGATACTTTTCTGGTTGAAAATAATTTGATAATTGATTCATCAAGTGTTGATTTGATCCAACAACAAGACATAACTTATTATCGCTAGATGTAGAACATAAATTAAAATGTATACGAAGATGGTTTATTCTACAACTAGAATAGAAATGATTGTCAAATTAAAATGTAGCAATATGAACATTGACTTGTTATATCGATAAAGCAAATATCAAATAAAAATGATTAATCCTAACGAAGCTAGCTCATCCAATGGCTCTAGGAAAGGCATTTATTTTAATTTAGCAGCTGAATTAACAATACCTATAATTTGTAATATCATTAATTTACCTGAATATGCGATTTGCAAGTCAACGACAACGCATCTATAAATTTGCACATATGTCTACTACTGTTAATCAAGGAACAAGCAACTCGTCCAACAATTCAATATGGGTTCTTATGCAGAATCTAAACTCCCTATAGTAGAATTCAACGAAAAAAATTTGATTCCTGGTACAAAATCCTGGGAATCAACTTCCCATTCCGTTCGTCGTGCACTCGAAAAATATGGATGTTTCATAGCAGTGCACGAGAAAATCACTACTGAAATGCACGACGCAATGTTCAAATCTGCAATGCCATTATACGAACTTCCAGCGGAAAGAAAAATGAAATTGGAATGTAATTTTCTTGGCTCTGGCTATGGTTCCAATTATCCCAGGATGCCCCTCTGTGAATACTTTGGAATTGAAAATGGAGCAAATATTGAAGGTACCAAAAACTTCGCCAGCCTCATGTGGCCCGAGGGAAATGATCAGTTCAGGTAATGTTAACTTGTTAGTGTATATTCTTCTCTCTAATCTATTTAATATGATCATAATTAATATATTTTAACATCAGGATTTCCAGAAACTACATGCGTGCATGCAAGTATATTGTTCTATCAATACCACATCATTGTTTTCGACGAGATATATTTATCAATTTGTTCACATTATATTTCGATCTCTTATCTTTATTTATTTATTTTTGGTTATGGTACGACCATAAATCTACTTTAACATCAAAATTTCCACTTTGTTCATCTTGTATAACACTTCAAATTCACTCAAAATCGTAAGAATAGATTGGAATCCATTTTTAACCTTATAATATGAAACCGAATAAACATATTAATTATTTAATATATACATGACATAAAGTTATTATGCTCTTATCATTTGCAAGCCTTTTGTTTAGGGCATTTGAGATTTTTCTTGTAATTCTCCTTTTTATTCTTTTAGCTTTTTATTGATGTTTTTTATTCTTCTCTCCTCAGTGAAACTACAGCTTCGTACTGTAAGCTGTTATCGGAATTGGAAGCTGCCATTACGCAAATGGTGTTTAGTAGTTATGGCGTGGAGAAATACTTCGAGGCTTTCACTCAATCCTCATTTTACCTGACAAAATTCTTGAAATATCGAGTCCCAAAGGAAAATGAGATTAATATGGGACTTGTACCTCATATTGATAAGACTTTTTTTGGCCTAATTGACACAAGCACAAAAGGTCTAGAGATTGAAACAAGAGATGGTGAGTGGATTAATTTTGAGCCAGCCCCTAACACTTTCCTAGTCATTGCAGGCGAGCTATTCACGGTGAGTTGCAAATCTCTTCTTCCCTTCTATTTATACTTTTCCGATTTTGGGTGGGTCCCCTTTTGCTGCTACAAGAAATTTCTCTTTTTAAGGAAGATAAATTTTTGTTGTAAATAGTCCTTGTAACGCTGTTTTGTCAAAAAAAGGTGGTTCAAAGAATTTTCAATCCTTAAATAGTGAAATTTCATGTAGTAGGAAAATAAAATTGAGTCGTCTTAATACAAAATTACTTTAAGGGCAATAGCAAATGATTGTTATGATGTATCATGGAAATTATTTGAAAGATAAGAATCGAATAATTTTCTGTGGTCATAAACTGGCTTATACTTATAAATTTAAAAGTAATTATTGAGTAACATAGTAAAATTAATATAACTGTTATGTATAATCTCACAATAAACAAACGAGATTCTACATCGAAAAGTTCACACAGATTAACAAGTAAACTATATTTCACTATTAAGAACGCAAATTCTTTGCCATAATGGTCCATATGTATATTCAAAATCCTAATTGTTGGGAAAATATTTAAATTGTCATATGGGCCGACATATGTAATTAATTGTATATAAATATTATCTGAAAGTTAAATCCAAAATTAAAGTGATTTAATAAAGAATTAAGTAATTATGTTTTGGGCATCTAAATAAACTTTAGGTTGAATTATATGTGTATATACGAGATTCCTTTAGAATTGTATTTCATGATAGGTGAAATACATATGAAAACTATATATATATGGTTATATGGTCCCTAATTCATATATGATTTTCATTCTTTGTGTTATTTCATCAACATAAGAATACAAGAGAAAACATATTGAAAAAGAAAATCCAAAGCTCACAATCGATAATAATGATTGAAGAATTCAAGAATCAAATTGAAGAATAAGACAATCAACATTATGGAGCAAAAAGCCAAAATCAAAATCAAGAACTCAAAACCCAAAAGAGCCAATAATCAAGATTCAAGATTTGATATTAAAGAATTATTCCCAATGAATTAAGGTATGTTCCTACTTTATAATTCTCTTGATAATTTGACATGGAGGATGATTTTGGAAATAAAGTAATTAGGTTTTCATGTTCTTAAAATTTAAAGTTTTATAAAAAAATCTAATTAGTGATACCAGAGCCAACTTCATGTGAAACCATTGAAAATAAAGAAGATTTAGGGTCGGAATTCATATTTTGAATTTCAAAATTTTGGGATGAGAATTTCAAACCTTAAATTTCAGATTTTTGGATATTTAGAAATTTTTGGAAAATTCTTGTTCAAAACGGCAACCGCGATGCCTCAACGCCGAGTCTGCGCACTGTAGTGCCTAGGCGTTGGGGCGCAATGCCACATTGTTGTAGCTTCAATTTTCTGTCCGGCAATAATTTTTTTATCAAAAGAAAAAAATAATAATAAATGAGGACAATTATATTTCAAATCTTGGTACTAAAGTTTATTTCGGATTACTAATTTTCTAAAATAAATTAATTGAAATAACATGTTACCAAAGTAACCGCTCTTGTCTAGATTCATTTATTTAGAATATTAAGTCGGTTTTGTGTATATAATTCATGTGGATATTCACCGACCTAAAGGAAGGTAGATGTTTGGCTAAATTCTATGCACACATATGGTAATAAATATGTGACAATTGTAAAATTTTCCATTATGTGAGCATTGAGTTGGTCTAAAGATAAACTTAATGTTTGAATGGATTTATTGTCAATATTTTATTACTATACCAAAAGTACCCCTCACAAGTTAATGTTTATGTCCAAAGACTAAATATCAATGTTGGGTCAATCTCTTGTGATCAGGTCCAGCATTATTTGGAATTATTGATTGTCGAATACAGATTCTGATGTGAACTTGTTATTAAGTTCTCTATTCAGTTAATCCATATATGTCTGTAATAGCTGTCAACATCATTACAATTCTTTTGCTTGAACCAAAGTTTAAGGGCTAGAAAGAGAACGTTTGTATCATTCTTGGCAGTATAGATGTAGATCTTACATTACGGATCGAAAAATTCACTACTCTTACGGATAAGAGTTTTGCTAATAACAATTCAACAAAAGAATAAAACACGTCAGATCTGGTTGTGGTAGTGAATCTTATGGTAGATATGACGGATCGGAAGAACAATGTCTAGGGCCTTTTGCTAAAATTTCTAGAGGAATGTAAAATCTTCTCACAGTACACCATATCAGGGTTCCCTATCATGAATGGTGTCTTATTAAGGGACGAAACAAAATATTTAAGGATGTGATGAGGAGCATTATTAGTCATTTCAATTTACCAAAATCTTTCGATGAGAAGGCATTAAAGACAACAACTTAAATTCTCAATAAAGTTCTATGTAAAGCAACTGCTAAGGGGTTACAATTTTTTTTAAAGATCCCACTATTAGATCAATTTTCGAAACAGAAAATGTCCAATTCCTCGAGGATGTAGTGTTATTGGAGAAGATAAGATTTCAAAGATAAAGATTTTTATCTTTGAGGAAAGATATGTATATATCTTTTTTGTTGCAATTGACAATGATCAGGATCATAGCCAAATTTTTGCTCCAGATCTTTTTCAAAAGAAATTTCAGATTGAGATAATATTGCAAAACCCCCCAATAAGCAATCAAGAGATATTCTAGAAAAACAAGCTCAACAATCTCAAGAACAAATGTCATTTAAGAAAATCATCTAGAGAAAAGAAAAAAACAATTCCGAATGACTATATAGTCTTTCTTCAAGAAAATAAAGAATACATTGGATTGAATGAGAAAAAATCTGATCAATCAACTTTCATCAAGCCATGCAAATAAATAATTCTCAAAAATGAACTGATACCATGAATAAAAAGATAAAGTCCATCAAAGATAATGACGTTTGAGAACTCATCCAATTGCTTGAAGGTGTGATACCCATTGGTTGTAAATGAATATTTAAAACAAATAGGGATTCGAAAGATAATGGGGAGAAATATAAAGCTCATCTTATTGCAAATAGCTTTACTCAGAAGGAAGGCGTTAACTTAAAGAGATTTTCTCTCAAGTTTCAATGAAAGACTCTTTTAGAACTATTATGATATTCGTAACACATTTTGATCTTAAACTACGTCAGATAATTTTACAAATTAAAGAAATTCATCTATGAGTTTAAGTAGGTTTCCCAATAATGGTATTACAAATTTCATCAAATAATTATCTCGTTTGCTTTCGATATGAATTTAGCTAATGATTGTGTATATCAGAAGTTTAGTGGGAGTAAGCATATTTTTTGGTATTATATGTCGATGACATGCTGCTTGCTTGCAATTATATAGGCTTATTGCAAGAAAATCAACAGATCTCTATCATGGAATTTGAAATGAAAATTTTTGGTTAAGCCTTTTTTATATTTAGGATATAGATATATCGGGATCATTCTCGAGGTAATTTTTAGATATATTACAAAAGAGCTATATCAATAAGTTTCTTAAAAGATTTAGGATATATGAATGCAAATCAGGTGATACCACCATTGAAAAGTGAGATAACTTTAGTCTCAATCAATGCACTAAGGTTAAATTTAAAGAAAATAAAATACAGAAAATTCCTCATGCTTCAATATTTGGGAATATAATATATGTTTAGGATTGCACACATTCGAATATAATATTCATTGTTGAAATGTTGGGCATATATTTAAGTAACTCTGGGATTGATATTTGAAAAGCAGCCAATCTAATTTTCGGTATTTATAGAGAACTAGGGATTACATAATCACAAAAGGAAATCAGACCAATTGGAGATCATTGAAAATTCTGATTCTGATAATTGAATATGAACATTAAATTTTGCCACTGAGCTGCACATTTTGAGTAGAATTGAAAAACAACTCATGTTATTCTATGACAATAAAAATATTGTTTTCCAATAGGAACTCGATGATGTCAAGGATTATAGACATTAATTTACTAGTTGTTAAGTAAAGAATTCGAAGTGGTCGGGTTTCTATAAAACATATTATAACAAATTCCATGATTGCGAATCCGCTTACTAAATAGCTACCACCTAAGGTCTTTCACAAACATAATGCTCATATGGGTGTTACATTTATTAATGATATGACAGTTTAATGTGAGTTTATATTTGGATTTTGTCTGTTTTAGACACATAATTTTATCCATGGATATTCAATTTAACTCAGAAATGAAATATTCAGTGTAGTTTCACTCTGATTAAAAGTTTTGGTTTGATCTCATTAAAGAATAAGGTAAGACCAGTTGGAAATAGGTATGTTTGGGTCCCATTATATGTAATTTTCATGCTACATATCCATACTTAATCTATGTCATTTGATTGTATTGATATACGTAATCATTGAAGGTTTAATTATGATAAATGTAATGAAAACCGCTTTAATCCTATATTGACATAATTAATGGACTATATTGTTTTGGTTATAATGGCAAAAGTTTTGAGTTCATAAAGTTATATACATTTATAAGGTAACACATGTGGCCAAAATATTTAATTTGTCATGTGGACCAACATATGTAATTAATTTTATATAAATGCTATCTGAAAATTAAGACTAAAATTAAAATGATCTAATAAAGAATTAAGTAATTGTGGATTGTGCATCTAAATAAAGTATGACCCGAATTATATGTGTAGAGATTAGATTCATTTAAAATTGTTTTTATAATGGGCGAAATATATATGAAAATTATATATAAGGTTATGGTCTCAATTCATATGTGATTCTCATTTTTTGTGTGATCCCATCAACACAATAGTATAAGGAAAAACATATTGAAAATGAAGATCCAAAACCATCAATCAAGAACAATGATTGAAGAATTCAAGAATCAAATTAAAGAACAAGACAATCAAAAGTATGGAGCAAGAAGCCAAAATCAAAATCAAGAACTCAAGAACCGAAATAGCCAATAATCAAGATTCAAAATCTGGAATCAAGATTTGGCATTAAAGAATTATTTCCAATGAATTAAGGTATGTTTCACACTTTACAATTTTCTTGGTGAATTGGCATGGAAAATCCTGACAATAAAGTAATTAGGTTTTCATGTTCTCAGGATTTAAAGTTTTATAAAAAATCTAACGCTAACATCTTATGTCATTTTTCAAATGGTGAATAATGAAAATTATATTAATGTGTGGCAACAAGATTTGAGCACAAAAAATTTGCTTCTCGAATATTATTTTGAATGATCACATTATAGAAATGCTTTACTACTAAAGATGACAATAATAATTATTGGTTTATAAACATTTGTATCTTCTTGGATTTCCCAGTTAAAAGACTAAAGTAAATTTACTTAGCCAGATTTTTTCCCCCTTTTTAACGGGTTTATAAAGGTTATTTCTAAGGTTTAATGTTATAATATGTTTCCTACGACACTGTGTACATATGCATTTCTTTATCAGGCATGGAGCAATGGACGAATATATGCTCCCCTCCATAAGGTGGTCATAACAGGAGATGAAGCAAAATACTCAGTTGGACAATTTTTATTCTCGAATGGGACGATGGAAGTACCACCTGAGCTAGTTGATGATGAAAATCCTTTGAAATTCAAGCCATTCAATCATTTGGAATTTCTTAAATATTGCAAAGAGGGAGGACAAGCAACGTTAAAAAGTGCCATCGAAACCTATTGTGGAATTTGAATCCCTTATATCCGTGTTGAAATTCGAAATGCTACATATATATCTGTGCTATATAAATTTTGTATGCACGTGCTGCATGCAAAGAATAATGTTGTGAGTTTTAGCTTTTTCGATTTACCTCTTGGTGTGATGCTTCTGTGTTTTATAATAAAGAAGATTGTGGAGAAAATGTAAAACCTTTGTTGGTTGCAAGTCTTAATTTGCTATGTAAGTATGGCTTTTGAATGTGTGAATTTTTGTGGCTCTTGTAAAGGTTTTTTTCTTCTATATTTTTGACATTTATGGTAAATTTTACTTAGTAATATAGATAATATTTAAATATTAAACTGAGATTTGTGCCCATAAATCGAGCATGGGTTCCTCGTAGAGTTTTGTTTTATATAAATTTAATATGGAATTTTTCAATGATATCCTATATTGAAAATGATTCCTTATGGTAAAGTTCTGAAGCAAAACTCACTGAGTGGTTCAAAAGGGCATGGCTGGTGTCGTTAGGAGGTGTACAAACCTTGAAATAATGCTATAAAATATAAGAATACAAATGATTGTACAAAACTTAACTCTATTTCATCACGTAATAAATATAAACTACAAGCAATTAAAAGAACCATTTTTTTTTTTTTTTTTGGGAAAAGAGGATGGAACCTCTGAAA